TTAAATATTCTCATAAAAGTTTTACTTTGCATACACTTTCTTTCTGAACTTGACAAATACTTTTTCGAATTGAGGACAAATAACAGGAAGATCGAAATTTTATAGCTACAGCAGAATATGTAAACAAATATGAAATGTAATAAAACAGAATAAATAAATAAGAAAGTAAAAAAAAAACAAAATAAATTATTTTCTTTTTCTCATTGATATTTTATGTCCAAAAGTAGTTAGTTACTTAACTATTTCACGGCCATCGCCATAGAAATATAGTTAAATTTCCTCATAGAAAATATACAGACAATACTGACTTTTAGTTCCTTCCTAATCAACTCCATGTTAACTTATAGTTAGATATATTTCGCGCAGGTTACATACATTTGTATATGTGTAGCTTACAGCTAATGGCAAAGTTTTAAGCCAAATATGGCTATAATACTAATGCTTTTGTTTTTATAAAGAAATTAGTTTTAATTTCTGACAACTCAACGATTCCCAACTCGATATACTACTAGTATACAAAAAAGCTATTTGGTATGCAAAATATGCGACACTGTACATACATATTTTACATTTACATTCTACAACTTAGTTGTATGCGCAAACACCAGAGCAATTATTTACTAATCAAAATTTACGTGAAATGTTATGCAGACCTGAAAAAGTTCAAATTGAAATACATACATACATATGTATTTTGAAAGCAGATCACGAGAGAGCTGGCATTTCGACTGCCATTGCTGCTGCAAAGTATAGCTCCAGTTATCCGGTCAGTTCGATGAAGGCCAACCAACACCAATCCCCAAAGTGTAATTTCCCATATTTTATTCATTCATTCACTTAATACTAACTGACGCAGTAATGTATAATTGTGCGTATATCCGTCTGCATACATAAATACGCATGTAGTATGTCGATGTAACTGTAACATTGCATGGACTTTCGAGCACAAGAGCAAAGGGTCCCTGCACACACTCGCTCTCGGAAGGGCGCCCATTTTGCTCCTCTGCTGGTTTTCAATGTCAGTGGAGTGATTTTAATAAACTTATGCATTCACACACATCTGTATGTACATTAGGGTAATCAAACATTTGTTTCCTCCAGCCAACCCTCCAGATCTGAAGTACATATATCAAAAATAAGGAGAAACGTATTTTATTTATTTTGAAATCGGTTAATATTTATCCGATGTGGTATTAAATAAGCCTAAATTTTTAATAATCATTGTTGTATTTTTTTAAAAAGGTGGCAACCCCGTCCAAATTTTTTTTTTTAAATCTCTTCAAACGCTTTTAGTTTTGATGAAGAAACTTAATTATTTTATTGAGCCTTCAAATAATTTTTATTTTTTGAAGATTTATGAAGGGAAATAGTCTTATTCGAACAAAATATATTTATTTTTAACGATCTTATAGCAATTCTACGGATGAATACTAACCGATTTCAAAATAAAAAAATACGTGTCTTCTCTCAAAAATGAGGTGCCAAATTAAAGTGCTTGCTCTGTAGATGTGCACACTGATTTTAATTTTTCGAAAAGAGTTGCTATCTGTTGAACAATTAAACTCAAATTATTTAATAACCAATGCCATCATATCTGCACCGTTCG